ATAGTCAAGAAATAAGAATTAAGGTCTTGAGATGGTACCAACGAAAAATATCAAAGAAACCATAAATTATCGTTAAATTCCCTAAAGGCTCTGCTTGCTGTGAAGTTTACTTAACCTATATTTTTCTTTTGTGTTCTGTTTATGTGAAGTTAATTGAAAGAAAGAATGGATAATATTGAACAAATTTTACTAATGACAGCAGCTTTTTTATTATTAAAAAAACAGAGGAAAAGAAGAGTCAAAAGACGTTATAGTGTTCGACCTTTGAATAGAGATCGTATAAAAACGAGAAATTTTTATGCATTATTCTACTCTAACTTATTGAAGCATTTATCTTATACCTATATTAATTGTTGTCGCAGAAGTCCTGTTTTGGCCCTAGCTTCCTCCTTCTTGGTCTTGGTCTTTATTGTCAAAATTTCCATGACGCCTAAAATTGAACAATGTTGATTAACTTGCCTGTTTCTAATAAAAAGGTGTAACATTACTTTCTAGTCACAATGGGACTATCAAGAAACCCCATTAACTCAAATAAGGGCCACTTCGGTTGACCATCTGCAGATCCAGCCGGTTTTTTCATCTTGTTCTCGGTGGTATATTTTTGCCAAAGAAAAAGGAACCTACGTTCGCAATCTTCAGGTGAAATCTTTTCCAAATCATCTGGTATGTCCGCACTTAATATGGCACTGGTCCAGGCATTATTTCTTGCCACTTTGTCTTTATATAATGTATGTTTTTTTACGTAAATTATCGGAAATTGTTCAACAAGTTTCACGAACTGTTCATCATCCATGATTCACAATTGTACATAACCTTAAAATCTACTCGCTTGCAGTCAGCTGTAACAGCGTTTAAAATTTGTATGTGCGCATCGTTATACGCACAAATAATACGCTAAGTTGAAAATATTGAACTTTTCATATCTTATTTGTTATTTCTTCTTGCTATAAACGCTGCCAACTTTTCTTAATTGTTATTTTTTACATCTTATTTGTTTTTTTTTGTGACCATAAACTGGGCTTAAGTTGACATAATTGTCAATGATACGATAAATTCGTTCACAAACGAAACTTCTATCTTCAATCTCACATTGGACGAAACTTTCAATACTTGCCATGGCTTCAAAACAAATAATCATCGATGGAACTCGCAAGAAGCGAAATAAATTCTTCAACGAAACGTAATACTGCGTAAACTCTGACAAAAAACTGATTTTATTTGTTACTCAGTTGTAAACGTTGATTAACAAGACAAAACGCAAACGGGTAAACGTCATGTTTAAACGCTACTGACTTGTAAAACTGACAGCAGACTTGTAAAACTGACAGCAGACCTGTAAAAATTTTACAAGTTATTAATCTAGTAATTTCATTGGCCAGAATTAATGCGAAGTCTCTGTTACATGGATCACATGATATTTTAGACATTTCTTCAAGATCAATTTAAGAACTAATTATTTACGTTTACAAATGAGTAACAAATAAAATAGTGTACATTATACGCCAGGTAATAGTTTTTACTGGCTCTAGGAGATGACAGGCTCGCCTAACGGCTCGCCAGTCAACTTCTCCTATCGCCAGTAAAAACTCACTTACCTGGCTAATAATGTAAAATACTATAAATTGGCCGCACTATGGCCCTACACTTGGCATAAAGCTGATTTCAAATCTTCAACGAAACGTAACTCTGCTCTGAACGGAGCAAAAAAACTGATTTAAATTTTCAAAGAAACGTAGTGCTCCGTTGACTGTTGCAAAAAGCGACGCTTTGCTTGTTAACGTCCTATTTACGGCGAAACCCTTCTGCGTGTAGTCGTCTAAGACATGTAACGTTACGCTTCATTTTTGTTCTTATCACACCACGGTGCCACTGTGAGTGTTGATTCCAGCACCACTTCTTTGCTCTGTTTACCCTTTTCATTAGTGTTGCAGTTTTTGGCAAAGTGTCCGTACTTGCTACAGCGAACATTCTTGTTCTTACCTCCAGTAGCACTGCCGAAACTCGAATTCATCTTGCCCTTTTTCTTACTGTACAACGCTACTTGCTGTGTGCTTCATTTTACATCCTGCAGGAGCTTAGACTTAATCGAATCCCCTGTTACAGCTACAACTGAGCTTTCGTTGCCTCTAATCATGGGTTTGTATTCGTCTGGTAAGCCAGCGAGCAGGATCGTACCAACCCATTCCTCGCTTACAATTAAACCCACACTGGAAAGCTTATGTGTTTTATTTACGTACTCTACAACATTACTGTTCTCCAACCGTGTTGTGATCAGTGTTCGTAGAAGTCCTACACGAAGTGTCAATCCATTATCTTCAAACGCCTTATTTGATTCTCCCAAACTTCCTTGGCTGTTGTTGCAGACTGGACATGAACATAATTTACCTGATCGATTATTTTGCTCTGGACTTTCATGACCTTCTTCGTGTCTTCCTCTGTACCAGCGCATTTCCACGTACTCCCGGCCTTCTTCTCAATAGGAGAAATTGAAGCAGTCGACATTGTAAAACGATAACTTATTTAGCAGACAGCGGCACCTGTTGGTGGAAGTAGGAACGTTGTGAAAGGAAGAAGATTAAGTGAACTAAAACATTTACTAGAAAACGATTACCACATTTTTGACAATCAATGATTCATACAGAATATACAGGGTGAGTTTTTTTTCATTTTAAGCATTGGGATCTCGGAAACCATAAGACATACGGTTTCGGTTAAATGAGGAAAGAGTTGTTGTTTTAAGAGCTTATTTTAGATATGCTTTTGTTTTTTGAAAAAAAACCACAGTTCACTAGATATGAGCGAAAAACAGATTTAGTGATTTTTCATTTAACTGTTGTAGAATCGTTATTATTAGAAATACAACAAAATGACACGAATAAAAGTTTTAGACATTTTAATGCTTAACATGATGAACATACTAATTTATTTTTAGATCTTACAATTTTTGAGTTATAATACAAACTTTAATTTTTTTAAATGGTAGTCATAGTTCGCTTTGACTTTTTTAAAAACGACAAATTTTTCTCTTTATAACGATATTACGATAGGCTTGCTAAATGTACTTTAATAAATAAACGCCCTGCAGTAATTTTCGTATTATTGAGAGGTAAGTAAACAGAGTTGTTCATTTTCTATCA